CAAAACTTGCAGTTTCTGAAATTTGGGAATTTGAAAGTTTGCAAATTCGGAATTTTGGGAATTTTAAAGCTTGGGAATTAGGAAATACGGAAATTCCAAAACTTGCAGATTCTGAAATTTGGGAATTTGAGTATTTGCCAATTCGGAAATTTCGGAATTTCGAAGCTTGAAAATTGGGGAATTCTAAAGCTTGGAAATTCGGAAACACGAAAATTCCAAAACTTGCAGTTTCAGAAATTTGGGAATTTGAGTTGGCAAATTCGGAAATTTGGGAATTTTAGAGCTTGAAAATTCGGAAATACGGAAATTTCAAAACTTGCAGTTTCAGAAGTTTGGGAATTTGAGTTTGCAAATTCGGAAATTTGGGAATTCTAAAGCTTGAAAATTCGGAATCACGGACATTCCAAAACTTGCAGGTATGAAATTTAGAAATTTGAATGTTTACAAATTCGGAAATTTGAGGATTCAAACGGTTGCAAATTCCGAAATTTAATAATTCAAATTCTCTCTCACAACTTGATGTTGTACCATTCAAAACCCATCACCAGGGATAAATCAACATCTTCGTTCTCTGTAATATTAACAATACTCAATAAATAATTATTTAACTTAAAAACAGAGAATGATTCAGCCCAAGCCGCCACGCGTTCATATTATTCTATTTACAGGCTAAAAAACGATTACAATCGTTTTTCATTTTTCCGTCTCTCCCGTAGTAGTTAACCGTAGTTAGATTCAGTATAGCGATTAGTAGTAGTTGAGTTAGTTGACGTTAATAGTACTTTAGCGATAGCAGCGTTCCTCCTCTCCCATATTACACTGCGCGTGTTACATGTGTTTGTTGTGTAGTCATTCTTAAATAGTGAATTTATAGGCGTTAAGTGTAATAGTAACAGCTTGTTATGCGGTTCGTCGATTTTGTTTTACAATTAATAGTATAGCGGTAAAATAGTAGTAGTTTTAGCTTACGATAGCGCTGTTAATTAATTAGTAATAGTAATAGTAGTAGTAGTAATAGCAGTAGTAGTAGTAGTAGTAGTAGTACTGGTAATAGTAGTAATATTAGTAGTAGTAGTAGCAGTAGTAGAAGTAGTAGTAGTAGTAGTAGTTGTAGTAGTAGTAGTAGTTATAGTAATAGTATTAGTGGTAGAGTGGTGGTGGTTCAGATGGTAAAAGCGTTTTTTCTTTCTTCTTCTTTTTCTTCTTGTTCTTTCTTCCTTTTTTTTGTTTCAATGGCGGTGCTGATGGTGATGGTGGCGTTGGTGGTAATTGTGGTACAGTGTAGTAGTAGTAATAATAATAGTAGTAATAGTAGTAGTAGTAGTTTTTTTTTTCTTCGTTCGTAGTATTAACAATATAGTTGCAGTAGTCGCCTTCGTAATAGTGTTAGTAGTGGTGCAAGCATTTTTCTTATTACTTTTTCTTTTTTTCTTTTAATAGGAATAGTAGCATCGTATCGCAGCGTTACACTGTTTTAAAATGTGTGTACGTTTATATTTTTGTGAGTTTCTTGTGTACGTGTTTATATCTTAGGATTTATATTGCTAGTTTATCGATACTTGCTAGTCTCATGTTCTTTGTACTATCACTACGAACCGATTGGCAGGGTGCTTCGGTGTTCTTCCCATTCTCGGGCGATCCTTCAACTCGGTCCTGGATCTTGACGCTTTGGAATCTCTTTTCTCTCGGGGTGGAATGGCTAATTTTGGGAGATTTTTAATTTGGGGAATTTCAAATTCAGAAACTCTTCGGGTTTGTGGAAATTGAAAACTTTGCAGATGTGAAAATTTGGGGAACTGGAAACTTTGCGAATTGGGAATTTTGGAGATTCGAAGCTTTGGAAATTTTAAAATTTCGGAGAATTGGAAATTTCGAAGATTTTATACTTTGCAAAATTAACGTTTCGCCAACCAGAAATTTTGTTAATAAAAATTTTTATAAATTTCAAATTTAGTCACCCGCGAGGAAAGCTCCAGACCCCGAAGTTCTGTTAGATCTACGGAAAATCAACTTCGAAAGATACACAACAGAAGCACAAACACGAACTTAGAAAGGCACGATCAACAATCAAATGTGGGAGACATAATAAAAAAACTACTAGCTTTTGAACGATCCTCCATTCTTATTTTTCTATGAGCTTATCACCGCTGGGAACAGAACAAACCGGAGAAAATGTTCTCAAAATATAATTATCGCGAATGGGACACGAGCCATCGAATTTCACGATCGTTGGATCTAATCGTCGCAAGAATGGGCAAAACGCACCCTTTCAACCTCACTCGAAGAGAGAAAGTGAGAAAAACAGAAAAAGGGATACCATTTGTTTTTTCCTTGTGAAACTTTACAGAAAACCCAGAAAGAACCGCCTCGGAAATACTAACCTGGTCGTCTAGCGAGTATATTAAGCGCATCTTACGTAAGGGGTTCCTCAGGGATCGCTATCTTAGGATTTACAAAGTGGACTGGTCGCCCCTCGTGCTTGCTTTCAACCCTCACCTTGCCAGAATCTTAATAATTCGTATTTAAACAATTTTACTTTACATTAAAGTTAAAGAAAATTTTAAGAAAACTGAAAATTAAATATGATTTCGAACGCTTCACAAATTTGGAGTAGAGCATTTTAAATGTGAAAATAAAATTTCTTCAAAATATCGAAACATTTTTTTCTTCCAATTATCTGGCAGAGTAAAGGTTCATTTTCAAAAAGAGAAAAGAATCGCCCCGCCTAGTCAGGCACCCTCATCTTTTCTTTCTTCTTTTCTAACGTACAGTCGACGGAAAGCACTTTTGGACAATATACATAATAATAGTTTCTTAGGACCTTCGTTGTCGTCGATTTTCGATGTTACATTTTTCATTCGCTCCTTGTCGCGCGACGTTTACACTAAATCCCTAAGTAGTTAATAATAACTATAGATCTCTCACTATCTCGAAACATCATTCCCTCTTCTCTGTATCTTTTTATTCATTTTTTTTTTTTTATTTCCTTGTCTTTCTAATAGTCTCGTTATACTCCGTTCTCCTCTTCACGTCCGCCATTTTACTCTTCTTCCGTCATTACCTCGAACGGTTTCCTCTCCTTTCCTTTCCCGTTTCTCTATTACACGCGCGCCATATTATAACGTTTAATCACCGTCATTATCATCAAACAACTCGTGTATCTCGTAATTAGTTAACCGCTTAATTAATCAATAAGTAATCAATATTAAATATTCACTTTGTTTGTCTAACTAGCAGCCTCTGTTGACTAGTTTCACGTAAAACTAGTCGTTTCTCTCGTGGTTTCTTTTTCTTCTTCTTCTTCTTCTTCTTCTTCTTTTTATTCCATATTGCTCTCCTCTGTGTTCCATTTATATTTTCCGTTTTCGTATCCTTTTTTTCACTAGTGTTAGCACTAGCCTGAGCATTAGGCGATATCGTTATTATCATTATTATTATTATTATTATTTAACGATACAATTTATAAAGTATTATCAATTACTTGTTGTTTATATTAATTTTAATATTATCATTAATATTATTATCCGTGGTTCGTGTGGACAGGTTAGCTTCCATCTTTTTTTTTTTCTTTTTCTAACCGATACCATCGTCGATCGTGTCCCCTCGACCTTCTTCTTCCTCATTTTTTCACTTATCCTTGTACAAATCGAAGAAGAAGCTTCTCGAAAAATATAATAGAAAAATTACAATTTCTTTATAATATTTATAAGCTACTCGAAATTGGCACTAGAAATCTTTTTTTTTCTTTCTTTCTTCCCTTTAAATCTTCTCGTTTCGTCAGTTCAACCCTTCGCCTATAGAAGAGCGCAACGAATTTCTTATTTTCTCTTTTGTTTCTCTCGTTTTTTCTTCGTTTCTTCACGTTCGTCCCAGTAACGCGTGTAACTCTTCTCGGTTCGTTTTTTTTTCTTTTCGTTATTTTTCTGTTCGCGACTACTATCTAAGGTCCTCTAAAATTTTCTTTACAAAATACCACGAGCGTGTATGTACAAAAAAACACACGTTCCCGGAAGGGCATCGAAGAAGCAGGAAGAATATAGGAATAGACGGTCATCGTTTATAAAATCGGAGTTCTCTCTTTGTTTCTTTTCTCCTTGTTCTTCGTTATTAAATAATCGACATTTTTGAAATCGATCGACGGGACCGATCGGCGATTGATCGATAGACGTTATTCAATTAGGAGACGAAATGAGGGGTCCTTACTCACGGTCCTTCAAGTGGACGCTTGAGAAAAAGAGAGAGAGAGAGAGAGAGAGAGAGAGAGAGAGAGAGAGAGAGAGAGAGAGAGAGAGAAATGAACAGCGCGTCGAGAGAGAAGACGCTTCCGGTGGCGCGGAAGTAATAATTGACCGAAACGATAACCCCCTGGAGCAGCCAGCCTTTCGTTCCCAGTTAAAAGACATTCATTTCGTTATGGTAAAGCAAGTTTCGCAAAAATATCAACTGAATTTTTATATTTTATTAAAAGGGCAATTGGATGTTGATAAATTTTATTGACGCGTGAGTTTGAAAAGAATTTTAAAGATTCTGAGAAAACAATTAGAAAAATTGGAAACCTCGTAAGGTGAGAAAT